AGGCTGAGAGTAGGCAGCATGCACAAGCTGCTTTCTGCATTTCTCTTTTCATATGATAATGGCTGTAAGAAGGTGGTGCCGGCTCTTCATTTTAGCTCCTGGCCTTAATCCTCTGGGAATCTTACTTTGCTAGCCTTCCAGCATGCCTGACAGTCTGAATGTTTAGCATTTTTAGAGGGTGGTTGCTCATCACAGGTTCTGGATTATCTTTTCACATACCGCTTTTAGCCTTCTACTTATATCCCCCAATTAATCTAAACTGCCACACTGGCTTCCTCTTGTGGCTGATCCAAAAAATAAGCAGGGCTCCAACCCCAAGAAGGAGATGTGTGTACAGTGGCGTTAACAGCATGAAATCCTGTGCTGGAGGTCCATATGCACAGGGACGTACCTGGAGGGATACCGTGACGTGGACGTGCTCCTTTATGAGCTGGAGGCCATTGTCGCGCGTTGGCAGGGCTCACTGCTTCCGTTGGGTACACAGCAAGATAGGTCATTAGCGATGTCAGCCAGCTGCGCAGTGCCAGGACACTGATGGCTTCCTCCAGACTTGTGATGAAGGGAAGAAAATGAGAGAAGAGAGAGGTGGAATTTAAAATGGAAAAGTTGGGGTTTTTTTCAAAATTCATAAACAAGTGTGAGAAGAAAGGGGGAATAGGTAGTGAAAATAAGTGAGTGTGTGTGTGTGTGTATAAACTTTAGCTCTACATCCAAGTGGCTGGTAAGGTACATTTGAGAAGAAGGGAGAGACGTGGAGTTTCACCCACTGATATCCTGGGCCCTGTTAGGTAGGCCATCACTAATCAGGCACACCTGGGCTCTGGAATGCGGCCCTTATGCCCCCTGGCCCCGTGTCCCCATCACCGCGAGAGATTTGACACTCCACCAGGAGGGAGAAGTTCCCTTCACAGCACCATTTCTACTGCACAGCGTGCTGCTGCCTACCACAGTTCAGCCAGCGTCGCCTGTGTTGTTTTGTCATTGCGCACCTCCACTGCCAGTGTGGAGAGCAGGAGGTGGATGGTGACACCAGGGCCCTTTCCTCCTCACGCCATTTTTAAGTTGCCTACTCTATTTTGCAGCTAGCCCAACAGTGTTTCCATTTTCCTACATGTAGTCAAGGAAGAGTCCAGAGAGCGTTAGCAACATTTCAAATAGCGGTTTTTTTTTATTACCTAGTAAGTCTGACACATTTAATTCATGCATAAAATAGTCTGTTTCATGTTGTTTAATTTCACTGTTTCACTTAGCTCTCTTAAATGTTGTTAGTCACATAAAATTAATTCATCATAATTATCACGTGTATTACCCACTGCCTTGTTTTAATATTTAGTCCCACAGTGCCACCTGCTGGAATAATGCTGTTAAGACACCTTCATAGTTGCGGATTTCCAGGTTTGGCCTTGAGCTAGCTGCTTTGTGTAGTTCATCACTGCTAAACCAGAAAGTCCACAGCTGGACTTATGTGTTGAGACTTTTCTTAGCAATATAGGTGCCAGAACAATAATACACAACCCACAGCCTTTAGAAAATTATTCTAATGGGTTTTCCTACATTCTGTGTCAGTTTTGAGCATCTGCTTTTGTTTGGAAATACAATCTGTGAATAGTTTAACATTGCCTTATGGAGCTAAAAATAGCTTTTGATTCTGATGCTTGGGGAAGCCTTCTCTCTGCACACACCCTTTCCTTTTAACTGAATATGTGTGTGCTTGTTATCTTGTTCGTATTCCACTGCATGGTCAGGCCAGGAGGTAAACAGGGCACCCACTAGGCAAATGTTGTTATTTGATGACATGAAAACTGACATATTAAAAACTGATAATAGGTTAAAATAAGACAATTTAAAATGTTTATTAGTAGTTTCTTCCTTCTTTTCTTTTGCTATACCCTTGGCCCTATTTTTAAATTAAGTTATTTATATATTTAGAAACTGGGTCTGACTAAGTCACAAAGTTCCCCAGGCTGGGCTTGACACCTGCTTCAGAATGCTGGGATTATAGCACAGTGCCACCAGACCCAGCTTGATATGTACCTCTTTAACATAAAAAGTAATCAGAAGTTGGTTTGCTTTTTAACCATTGATACCATTTAATACTAAATGAACAATACTTTTGCATGTGGCCCAAAATGGAGCATGGCAATTCTTATATATGCAAAAGAGGTGTATTTCATTCAGTTAAAGCATTTTAATAGAAATTCATACCAGTGTATTGTTTGGCACACCTTGTGGATCCAGAAATGTGAGATTCAAGCAACTCCTCCTTTGCCTTCCTCAGCTTTCCAGCACTTTCATGTCATTTAAACCCATACTGCACAGGGCCAGAGCTAAGAAGAGCCACATGCACCCTTCAGAGCAGACTCACCGTCTTCCCACTTTTGCATTTATAAGAGAAGGAAGAGTGTGTATGGATCTCCTGGAGGGGGCATATTTAGGGCATTTGGGGCACTTTTTGGAAAGTAACTTGATTTTTAGAGAAAGACTGCACAGTATTCACTAAGATTGCACGCAGAACAGAAGTGGGCTTAGTCTGTTTATGAGCTCATGCGCACTGCTGCGGGCAGGCGGACATCTGGAAAGAGCGAAGCAAGATCTCTGAGAGTTTTCATCATGGCCTGAGAGAGATGAAACAAGACAGCCTCATTTAGAAACTCTTGCCCTGGTGCCCCAAAATAAAATATAAACAGTTAAAAAGCTTTTAACATTCTTTGTTGTCACCTCGATGATCTAAACACCTTACCTACCTATCATCTGCTTTCCCAAAGAGAAAGAGAGAAGTGAGTATTTAACAGCCTCGATATAAGTCATGACTTGGCTGCAGCTCATTGCTGGACCTTCACTTTCGGGTCTACGAGTTGGAATCTGCCAGGACTGGAATGCTGGCATGTTGGTTGCTGACCGTGATTTTTGCCTAAGCCTGGCTTGGAGCAAAGCACAGCAGTAAAAATAAAGGCAATTCTCTTTCCATTACTTCTGGCCTGCCTGTCACTGACGGCATCATGCTTTGTCTCTAAAGTCTCTCACAGCGTTGATTATGGTCTTTGAACTCTTTGAAAATAAAAGGATGATGAAAGCAAACTCGAGTGGAGTAAATGCAAATTGCAGAGTTTCTCCGTATTTCAACTTCTGAAAGCCTTCCTGATCACAGAGATTTTGAAGCCGTAAATCAGAACAGTGGCCACAGGCATAATCAGTGACGAGACTGTCCATCCAGGAACAGCTGCCCGATCAGTGTATTTTGTTGCCTTTTACTTCTCATCTTAGTTTATTGTCTTAAGTATCTTCATCATCATCCTTTTTTTTGTACCTGCATCTTTTTACTGCTGTCTTGTCTCCTCACAGCATTTCTATCGGCTGAAGAGAACATGTATCACTTTATGCCTTTCAAACTAAACATTTATATAAAGGAGAGCTTTATATGTTAATGTGTAAACTTATGTGTGAATATATATTTAAACTAGTTTCCTAGTATTTTAAGAAAATTGCTGCTTGTCACTGTAACCATTAGGTTGTACCAAAATCTCCTAAAAGGTAAATTCTCTTTTAGATCATTTTTGCTATCTAACATTTTGCAGTAACAGGAACTCATACTTACTCTGCAGCAACCCACTTATTGATGACACTTTCCTGGACTGACTGGTTTTGAAAAGGGACAGATTATTCCAGACAGAAATTACAGCAGTTGTCTTTTCCCAGCATTTGTACCTGGTGTGGGGCTCCATACTACACACACACACACACACACACACACACACGCACACACACGCACACACACACACATTTGACCTGGACCCAACCCTACCAGTGCTGCCCCAGAGCTGGCTCTGTGCAGTGGCTCTGCAGGCCCTAAACTAGGATTCTGAATGTATTTTATCCTTTCTCAGAGTCTTTTGCGTATTGTACTAAATCTCGCTGTCCGTCTCTCTCCCGCCGCCTCTCCTGCTCTGAGACCTGGCTCATTTCTAAAGTCTCAGCAGTGGATCAGTTTTCACATGGAACATCTGCGCAAGGATGAACAGCACATCTCAGTTTTCCAAGGCTTTAGCAGAAAATGTCCTGGTGACTCTCCCCTACACACATCTACGCCCCTCCCTACCTCCTGTGCTGGGGCCTCCATTAAAGGGCAGACTGCTTTATTCACATGTTTATCTTTAAATATTTTTTTTAAATTGGCATACCAAACCCTGCAGTTCTCAAGTGTTCCAAAAATTGTTATCTTTAGAAGATTTATAAAATAAGATCTTTGTGGCTTTATTTTGAAAATCTGGAAGCATTAAGAAACTAGGCAGCTTTCTTTTTCTTACATTTCTTTGTAATGCCTATTCTTTTCACTTTCAAACTGTAAGTGATGTATGATGCTTTGTGCATATGTTTATGAAGAAGTCACCATTCACTTAAATATGTTTTCAGTGTTGGCAAAGCATGACCAGGCACACTGAGAGGGCTGTGAAACAGTTTGACATTTAAGAAAATAAAAGACAAGACACAATTGACTTCCTGGCCTAAGCAGCAGACACTCTTGCTTATATCTTTAATACTTGCATTTTTGAAGGGATATTTTGTAGACTTTGAAAAACTACATAAACAGCATATGGCTATGCAATACTAGAACTTTCCAAAGTAGACCAGTTTGCTTCTTTATTTTAGCAAAATGTGTGAAGTAAGGTATCCAGCACTTTTTAGCATAAGTGTGATTAGGTATTACTGTATTTTCTGTTTCCTTTTTTCATATTCAAGCAGGTAAATATTTGTATATACATAGACATATGAACATGTATTCGTATGCTTGTAAGTGACATAAATTTCCTTTTGTTTGGATATTGTGGGCAGCATTGTAGTACCTTGAATTCATGTGATAGAGAGGGGCATCAACTATCGTGGCAAGTGCCAAGTGCTAAAAGTTCCTTAATAGCTGTCATTGGAAGATTTTTCATATTCTCACTGTAAAACCTAGAAGTCTAGTAGCTAGCCATTCATTTAATTTCCCTTGCTTTGCACAGACTCCCCTTTACTTGGTAAATCATGGAGAAAGTGGACCAGTGAGATGTAACAGGTGCAAGGCCTACATGTGCCCATTCATGCAGTTCATCGAGGGAGGAAGAAGATACCAGTGCGGGTTCTGCAGCTGTGTGAATGACGGTAAGTGCACCGCTGATGCTGTGGGAGGGCTCTTCACGGAAGGAGAAGGTTGTAATGTGCTCCTTAGCGTAGGGGGAAACAGACTTGTTTCCTACATAGCAGTCACATTTTTATAATTTCTCCAGAAGTAAACTAAGGAGAGCAAGCCCTGTTGGGAAATCCAGGGCCCTCCGCTTTGTATAGCTGCTGGAGCCCTGCATGGAAATGGTGGGGTTGTTTCCTTCACTTGAAATTAAACTCGAAGTGCAGGACAAGGGGAAGGATTTCTTTTTTAGTCCTCTTCCACCAAGTCCCAGCTGGAAGCAAAATAAGTTTTTTACTTCTGGTGTTTATAGATAATAAACCTTAGAGAATGTTTCTCTTTTGGCATTCCTGAGTTATTGAGTATACGCACATTGCTCTTTAGGAGAAGCTTTGACATGTTATAGATTTTTCCCTCTATATAAATGTTGAGCTTCTTAAGGAGGCACGACACTACTGTGAAGCACTTTTCCTGTATTTATTATAACTCCTTTTTTTATTCTATTAATTCATATCTTGCAAACACTGCAAACTTGTCAAAACTGTTCTTACATTCTACGTTAGTAAATAAAGCAGCTTGCTCAGGCTGAGACACTTCCGTGTTCGCTTATGTCTCTGTTGTTAACCGTGTGATGATACGGTGAGCTTTCTGTGAAGCCTGCAGCTCCCTGTGGTCCTTGACCCACCCGGTCTCTGCAGGAGAGTGCACCCCGCCCTGCTCTTTGCCTCCGTCCTTGCATTGCTGGCACCTGGGCTCTGTGCACATTCCTGATGGGACATCACCACTGTCTCCTTGTTGTCCTGTGCCCAGCACACGTAGTCCATGGCTTTTGCCAGCATCAAGAGCCTGAGACCAGCCTTGTAAGTGCTCCTCACAGGGACCTGTGGTCAGTTCTTGGATGTGTCTTTCTATGAAGTGGGGCATGTGCTTGCACTGGCTGCCTCACCTCCAAGCTCACGCCATGGACTTTCTGGGAAGCCTCTTTCCTCGTGCTGATTGTGGCATCTACCCAGTGCACGCTGGATGTTGTCATGAGACCAAAGTCTGTTAGTTTTCTCTATTTCTGTCTAAGGAAGCTATGATTTGCTCTCTCATGCTAGATGACTTTTGTGATCAAATCCTTGGTTATCATTCAATTTGGGACTTGGACTTCAGGAGCCTTGTGTTAGTTCATCTCTTTGGGCTTTAGGTTCTTGGTTTTTTTGCTGGGGCAGGGCAGGGGAGTCATGAAATATTTGGATAAAATTTCCCACCAAGTCCACCAGTTCATCAGTGTCCTCACCCAAGCTCTCAACTTTCGTAAGAAGGTGATCAGAAACATACTAAGCATACGGTATATCAAGGATCTTTAATTTGATGTCTCGCACACACACACACACACACACACACACAAACACACCCCTCTTACATATAGTGTCAGCTCAGGTCCTTGAAAGACCCAGATTTTTCTTGGTAAAGAAAATACCTACAGCGTTTGGGCATAGTGCACACAGTCTGTGCAGGTGTATGACTGTGAATACACAGTTAAGGGCAGCTTGAACTACATTTCGGTTATCTGTGTAGACCTTGCGGTACCATCAACTGGCCTGCGATGCGCACTTCACCTCACCCGACAAGGACAGAGCAGCAGTCTGGGCCTCCGGCTTGCTCTCTTCAGTACAGACTGTCTGTTTCTACCTCTGGAATCATCTCAAGACATTGAACTTTCCAAATTCATATATAACCATGAATGTTGTAAATCTTATTTTAATAGAAATGACCAAAATACAGTAAGAATGTAGAAAAGCCAAGCTTCTGGGGTTTTTTGTTTGTTTGTTCTTCTATAAAGTCCAGCCTTAAAAATTCAGGCCTGTTGTATTGTTAGTTTCACAATAATAATAATAATAAAAAAATGCTTAATTGTAGATTTAAAAGCAAAAGGCATCACAATTGCTTTTATGATTTTTACAAATGAAAATGTTGTTCTTTACAAAATGCTTAAACAAAGAGCGTTGCCAGTTTTTTAAAATACTTGTGTTGGCAGAGGTTTCATAGCCTGCCTGATTAATCTCCAGGCAACAGGAGTTCTTTTTCACAGAGATACCAGGCCTTATTTGTCCAAGTGTTCAGTATGTGACTCATAAGTGTTGCTCTGCTGTTGGGTGACTTCCAGGTCTTTGCCAGAGCTAACCTTCTGAGACATTTGAATCAAATTAGAGTTTTCAGCTGCGATCTTGGTGCTCTGCTTTTTCCCTAATTCAGTAATCCTCTGCACTCTTGAGTCCAATGTTCCAAGATTATTCTGCACACTTCCCATGGCTGAAGGCATTTTCTCATTAGCATGCAATAAATATTTTAGTTAATAGTATATTCCAGATCATCAGTGTTTATCTCTATTAGATATATTGAAATTTGAGATAGAAAGACAGAATTCAAAGCTTGGCATGGTGGCATATGCTTGTAATCCCAGCACTCAGGAAACTGAGGCAGGAAGATCAATGTGAGTTCAAGACCAGCCTGGGCTTCAAAGTGAGCTCAAGGCAGCCTGAACTGCCCTGTCACAAAAAGACACACACACACACACACACACACACACACACATAAATGTAGAGGTGGTTAAATAGGGACAATGAAATATTTGGGTTGTGAGGACTTAAAAAAACAGAACTTCTATTTTTTTGCTTTACAATGGTGCAAGCCATAGCTGTTCTTTGTCATCAATAATTTGTTGAAAGGTCAAGAGGATTGTTAAAAAAACCCTCATACTTTCCACAACATGCTTTTAAACAGTGCATATTTAAAATATATTCTTTCTCAGTTTTAAAATACTTTTTCTTTTTTACTCCCTTCTGCAACAAATTTTAAGAATTTATTAAATTGTCCCAAGTTTGTGAAAACAAAAGATCTCCTTTCTTGTTTTGTTTTTATTAGTTCCACCATTCTATTTCCAACATCTGGACCACATTGGAAGAAGACTGGACCACTATGAGAAGCCTGAGTTATCGCTGGGATCATATGAATTTGTTGCTACTTTGGATTACTGCAGAGTAAGTGTTCTCAGGATTTCAAGTGTTTATCCACTGATGTCAAATTCAAGTGAATAACTTTCATATGTAAAGGGCTGACCCTTGATTCATAAACAGAGCCTTTTAGTGGTGTCAGGAGAATGTAGAACCTGAGACACAGATCCAGCCTTCTGTGTTGCTAGCATGATTCAATCGCTGAACCATTCACTGGAATAATCATTTTAAAAACAGAAATGTGGTACCAGAAATAAGAAACAGTAATTATTTTGTCTTTTCCAGATAGAATATACTGGTTCCTTCATGGGACAAGTCTATAGAGGGCCTCTGCCTGACTTGTTTTGTCAATCATCTCAGAAAATATTGCTTGCCCAGGCGGTAGTTTAACTAATATGGTCAGTAGGACTAGTGAGTGACCTGTTCCCTCACCTCCCTTCTGTGCTCCAGTTATTAGCAGGCCTGGGACCTGGGTCTCTGGTTTTCTTGCTCTAAAATATAGCCATAAGATTCTCCCCACACACTCCTACAAAACTCTTTTATTTCTCTTCCCTTCCCTTCCCTTCCCTTCCCTTCCCTTCCCTTCTGTCTTTCCTTCTCCTTCCCTTCCTTTTCTCTTACCTAAAACATTGAGATAAAAGATTAAACTTTCAGCTGCTTCTCTGTAATCCCAGCACTCTGGGAGACCGAGGCAAGAAGATTACACGTTTGGGCCAGTGACTGAGCAAGACCCTACCTCAAAATAAAATTGGAAAAAAACAATTTTTTTATAAAGGAGCCAAGGCTGTAGCTTAGTGCTGTACCTTGCTAGCATGTATAAGACTCTGGATTCACACTGTAAACTCATCAGCCCCTTTGAAAACTTTATCACTTTATCTAAGATGTTCTTTAGACCAGGATATGTTTCTACTGTTCTGTCACATTGGTATATACTTCATCTGCCAAACTCCTAGTTTTCCTCTAATGCCCAAGTAAAATTTTATTACGTGTGCACATGCAGCTTTTTGTTTTTATTACAGTAGCTACTTACTATAGTTTCTGTGTCTTAATAAACTTGGGCCATGTCTCTGTTTCAGCAGTCTGTCCATGGAATATAATTCTTCTAGTATACTTGCCCTCTTTACAAATTCTGATGTCCTTGGTGACCCCAATCTTGTTCTAGTCATCTTTGTGACATTTTTCTGTGTCTGGAATAGGTAGGCAGTTGACTGATACCTGTGGAATGAATGAGTGAGTGAATGAGTAAATTTGCAGGTGTATTACGGTTTCCAGGACTGAATTTGCCTTCAGTATTTTAGTGATGATTGCATCATTATGGGAGCCTTTTGGAGCTTTATGGTTAAGTGGTGTGAAAAATCACATTTCAGAAAAAAAAAATCACATCTCCTGGGACCTCAGTTCAGATTTCAGTTTATATCTGTAGCGTCACATGTAGGTTTGAAGAATGGGGTCACTGTGACACATTTCCTTATGTTCTCTTCCAAAACTGAATGCCTGCTAATATTTCATTTCCAGAAAACAGCCTCTGGCCCACAGATTTCTTCTATAGATACTTTCTGGGGGATTATATTGAGAACAGATAATATTTGTTCAACTAGACGTTTCTTCAGGTGACTGTTAATTGTTTTGAATTAACATTTATTTTAGTGTTTTATATGCTATCTTGCAATACTAGAAGCATTTATTAGCTTAAAATGTTTAAACATATTTGTGAATATATAAAATCATTTTTGATGCACATGCCTTGTCAAGTGAAAAACATGTTCTGAAGTACAGTTACATTTTAAGAGTTTGTTTGTTCTTTCCTGCTATTGAATGAAGAAGTAGCAGTAGGCAAAACATAAACATTTGATAGGCTAATTAAACACAGTAAAACTATTGTAACTACTGGTAGAAAGTTTATTTACTCAATAGTATAAATCTAATTAAGTTCTAAGTTTCTGGTTCTCTGTCAAAAACCCTACATTGTCTTGATTTTATGCCTTTTTAGTAGAAACTTAGGCAGAAAGTCAAGTCTGTTTCTTGGAACAAAAGTCTTAGAATTTTCAAACTCTGCTACCTGAAAATATTACAGAAATCTAGTGGATGGGAGATCTCACCCAGAAAGCAAAGAGCCAAATTAAAAAATGTACATTTGCAAGAGAATTTTTTTGTAAGCTTAATCTCAATCTTCCTTTTGTTTTTTCCAAGTATACGTCATAGTAAATTCACTGCAGACATCTTTGTATTTAATTACAATATAAATTGCAAATGCAGTAGAATAATGAATTGACTGAGGGATTTGGAGTATGAAAAGGTTTATTTAATTTGCATGCTTATTTTTCACACTTCGCACACCAAAAGGAGAATGGTAAAATCCCATTTTCCCGTTCTGTATTTTAGCTGACCTATGTCACTTTTAGATTCTCAAGCTAGCATCCGTGGAACTCGCACTGTATGTGTGGGTCCATGCTGCAAGTGGTCTGGTGTTTATTTAGTTCTTACAGTGAACCTGAGGAGATGCAAACTACCCTGAAGTGGGAACGGGGCTTAGAGAGCTGGAGAACCAGCGCAGGCCATGTGTGCAGAAAGCAGTGAAGCCAGACTAGATCCGTGTCTGTGTGGCCTCTGACCCCTATTTTCTATCACTGAGCTGTGAGTATGTAGGCAGGCTTTTTACAAAACCACTGAAGAGTTCCCCTGGGAAAAAGCGACCTCAGCTCATCACATAACTAAGATTGGTTTTAAATGTCTGGAACATGTCTGCATATAAAGTGTACCTGAAATGTAAAGTCTCATTCCATGCTATCCTTTTGTTTTCTGAATGAATTTTAATTTACTTTGACATTTACTGGATGCTTAACATATCTAAGACACTTTGTGTGCTGTGAGGATACCAAAATTAGTAAGATAAGTATGCTTGAAAGATACCTATCATGAATAAGCCTGATAAGAAATGTAATAATGATGTAAACTAAAATATGGTACAAATTATAAAGGTAGAGTACAATAATCAGGGTTTGTAAGAAATCAGGGTGGGAAGAGCACTGAGGAGAAAGTGACCATGAGCTGGTTAAACCAAGAGCAGAAAATGAACATGGAAATGAAGCAGATGCTGAACCGGGCACAGAAGTAGTCTGACAGGGTATTGGCTGTGTAGTCCGGTTCTTCAGAGGTGACACAGCCTTTGTGGATGAGTAGCATGGATCGGGTGTGGGGACCACAGAGCTGATGAGTATACGCCTCTCTCTCAAAATGCATTAAAATTCAAGTATGTTTAGAGACACCATGCCAACTAAAATATTTTTCCAGCTAAATTCTTGACTCAAGCTCACTAGGCTGTGGCTTCTACATGAGAAATGTTTTAAAAATTGCAAGCACTTCAGTTGGAGAATTCACATGGAGAAATAGTGTGCAGTAAATCCAGGAAATTGTTGTGAGGTGCAGCCTATCTTATTTTCCTGTGGGTCCAGCATCACATCTTTGGTCTCCTAGGGATTTTTTTTTTTTTTTTTTTTTATGGTACCAGGGATAGAACTCAGGATCTTGCACCTACTAGACAGGCACTTACGCTGCTGAGCTATCTCCCTGGCCCATTCCTAGGTTTTCTATACACTGTTAAATGAATGTTTTCAAGCATCTTCTTCAATGTGCCATGAGGACAATCAAAAGAGAAGAGAGCTATTCCTATTAATGCAACCATCCATCTGTCCATCAATGCGTCCAAGCTTCCATCAACCCACACAAGCATTCACTCAACGTTTATTAAGTCCTCTCTTTGGTGTCATGCTCTGTGCTAGGTCTGGAAACTCAGTAAAGTTCCTGTTCTCAAGGGAGGTAGTATTGTGATACACTGTTTAGCCTGACAATGATCTGTAATGAGAAAAGAGGGACTGGATACAAGAGTGTGTTCAAAGTTCCTGAGATGGGCCAAGGGGGAGAAAATGAGAACAGCGTGACAACATCCCAAGCAACTACAAGTAACATGACTATGTGATACAGAAATTCCACTTTGGGTTATACACTTGAAGTAACTGAAAGCAGGAGCTCAAAAAAGATATTTACACGTATACACTCCCAGCTGGATTATTCACAAAATCCCAAATGTGGAAGTAAACAAGTGTCTATAAGTAAACAAATTACTAACCAACATATGACATATGCATAGAGGGGAATCTTGAAAAAGAAAAAAGTGACATATGATACAAAGTAAATGAATATTGAAAGTTATCACGCAGAATTAAGAACGTTGGTAGAAAAAAGATAAATATGTGATTCTATTTATGTGAAGTATTTGAAGTAGTCAAATACAGAAAGTCAAATGGTAGGCTCAAAGGACTAGAGAGGAGTTGGGATAGAAAGTTGTGTAATGGGCACATTTTTTTTTTTTTTTTTTATAACAAAAAGAGTTTTGGAGATGGTGATGGTGGTGTTACCCTGCAAATGTACTCAACGCCACCAAACCATACACTTAAAAATGGATCTTTCTGTGGCATTCTGCTGCAGTTAGCTGGCCTGCTGATTTGCAGCTCACAGGGAAGCCAGGATGAGAGGGTTTGATGTGTCAGCTGTTGGAATGCAGTGGAATATGCTTTCCGTGATGGAGCTCATGTTGAGAGATGAGAGGAAGGCCTTATATATTACCCTTGGCTGGCAAAGCAAGTTGGAGTGAACAGGTGGAATCACAGTGTAAGGAAGGTAGTGGTGTAGTCCTTGGTTATCTAGGCATACGAAGAGTAGAGATGAGGTAAAACATAGTGGAAAAGTCATTTGCGAAGATAAATTGATAGAAATCAATGATTGAAGGAAGGAGGCCAGTTCTATCTAATTTTGGGTTTCAAAGACTTTGGGTTGTGATGTAGCAATATCATCAATATTGATAGAGGAACTGAAAGAGAATGTGGTTCAGGGAAGTGATAAATTAACTTTTCATATGTAGAAAACAAGGTACAGTGAAGTGTTCCTGAAGGCTGGAGAGAGGGGTAGTGTGCAGGGGGAAGTAGACTATGCTGACATCAGGAGAGAGCCAAGAGTGGGAAGATGCATTTGGGTTTGTCACAAAGAGGTCTTGAGTCAGTTAGTCCAAGTGGTTATTTTCCTCAAATATGTTGGTATAATCTGTGTTATGAAATAGTTTGATGGAAATCAGGAATTATTTGCAATAAAAATTACATAGAGTTCCTTCAGCTCTTTGTCACTCTGATTTTGCTTGTGACAAAGTGATGAAGTTTTCAAATTAATGATTAATGAATCTTATAACATTTTAAAATCTAAAATAAAGAAATTTGGGGCCAGTTATATTGGCGCAAGCCTATAATCCTAGAACTCAGGAAGCTGAGGCGGGAAGATCACCATAAGTTCAGGGCCAGCCTGGGCTCCATAAGAAGTTCAAGGATACCCTGGACTATATACATAGTGATACCCTGACTCAAAAAAAGAAAGACTTTTATTGAAATAATGTTCTATCTTACCTCATAGTAGCTATAGAATAAGTCAGTAAGATAATTTATAGATAGTTCATCTAATTTTATAATAATTAAGCTGTTGTATTTTAGAGCATTTTTATGATTTATCATAAAGCTAAAAGTTCATTTGCCTTAAGTCTTTATTATCGGTCACTAATGCTGTTTGCTTGTGGCTGTCTTTTCTAAATATTTTAAAAGTCCAAACTGAAGGACCACTTCGTAAGAGCTATTTGAAAACCAGCCAGAAAAGAGACATGGGTTGCTAGAAACCATTTTCATAGCAGCTGCTTTATGTTACAGTAATTGTTTTAAACACACTCAGAAAAGGCCATCTTACCATAAATATGAAATAAATTAAGCTAGGGTTTAAGAATATGATGCACGATTTTAAAGTATGCAGTTATGTAGCATTCCACTTCATATCTAAAACTGAAGATGATAAAAGAAGAGATTTGAATATAGTGAGATCCCAATTAGTGAGGTTTTATAGCAGTTTCAAAAAGAAATGCTAATTATTACATATACTGTGTGTTAGTACAAATTTTTCAGGGTTTCAAGAACATTTTGTCTTCTAAAATAGCATTAGTAGCAAGGCTGGTCACAATACTGAACTTCAGGAATTTGTAGTAACAAAATCTTTGAAACTTTGCAAAAGTGAGCCTTCTCTGCTAGATGTTTTAATGCTGTCTGGCTCAGGTCGTATCCTGGAAAATAAATGGCTTCCTTTATCTTTTTTATAGCATAAGAGTCTGTGTTCTAGAAAGTAATTTGGTTTCACAGATGTTATATGTAAATATTAGATGAAACATCTGATCACTTCAGGGGTTGCTCGTGTGTTCTAATTTACTTGTGAAGCGTATTGACTTCATAGCTACATGATATGTTTGCTTTCTTGCAGAAGAATAAGCCTCCCAGCCCACCAGCCTTTATCTTCATGATTGATGTTTCATATAGTAACATAAAGAATGGCCTTGTCAAGCTCATATGTGAAGAACTGAAGACTGTGCTGGAGAAACTTCCAAAGTAAGGGTTCAACTACTTCTTGTGTAATGCACACAATAGTGCTGAATGAATAGGGGCCAGAAAACAAGTTGATATCTTTCGCCGATGAAGACATTGGACAGTTACTGATATGTCAGCCAGCACCAGTTTTTTATAAGTCCTTAAAACACCCAGAGTGGTCTTTTAAATAAGGCAATAGAATCAAGCTGACAAGGACTACTACCAGGGTTTGAAAGTATTCAAAACGCACTTTACCCTGTATTAAGAATCTGAGCAGTGTGGGGGGAGAGGCTGTTCATTTTTAAAACTACTGATTTTCCAGTGGAATCTGGTAGTTTCTAGGCCTTGCAGAGAGTTCTAAGGATAAAAAAAAACAAAACGAAACAAAAAAAACTGTGCTGTCATGGACATTTGGTTCAGATGGTAGTATTTTAGCCAAATTTCTTTTTGCTCTTAATATACCATCTAATGCAGTTGGCACTTGCAGCTTCGCTACCTCTGTGTGTGACTGTTAAGAGATAAGTCATTGCTCTTTCCCTTTCCTTTCCTGTCCTTGTGGTACATACAAGGAAAGGAAAAACTAACTCTGATAGTTAAGAGATGTTAATCCCAACCCCTGACCTTGGCTTCAGGAGGCTATTTGGAATGTCACCTGCACTAGCTTAAAAGAGTAACTCAAGTCAGTTGCAGGCTTGCCATAAAGACGTATAAAACTACACACAAATCCAGCCCCAAATAAACACTGGGAGAAAAAAAAATCAGACTTGTTTTGAAGGAAGTAAAGGTATTTTGACTGCAAAAAAGCTTTTTTATCATTTATTTATTTGGTAGCGGGTCTCACTACACAGCTCAGCCTCATAGTGATCCTCTTGTCTCAGCCTCCCCAGTTCTGGGATCACAGGCATGCAACACCATGCCCAGTTTTGGTGGCAGGCTCAGTGCGGGCTGGCATGGCATGCAGTACTGGGGATTGAACCTAGACTGCCAGTCTGTCTCTCCATCCCAAGTAAAGACTTTATGAGAGAGATTTTAGAAATGGCACTGCATAACTGCTTACATGCTTTTAGTTTTCTCTTCTGTCTCCTCTAAAACTAATTCAAATATCAAAAGATTTAACTTATTGCATTACACAACCTCGCTGTTACTGGGAGGCACTTGCATCTTGTAAAGAGATGGGAGAGCAAGGGAAACCATACTGTCCTTGGAGCAGCTTGGCTCAGGCAGAGAAAAGACGGAATGCTGTCTGAGGGGAAGAGCTGTATTTGTTTTCAGCCTTCCTGCTCCTCCTTCCCCCGTTCATACATGGTGGTATCTCTTCGGCGAGGGAGTTTGGGGGCCTCGGGACTGTCCTCGGCCACCACCCCCCCAGGAGTCTGGAAGCTCACTGCTCCATATCCCTTCCACCTTAGACCGCGGTGTGGTCCGTGTGGGTCTCTCACACATGAATTCGGGACCTCCCAGGAGTAGTTTTGTTTGTATCTCTGAAGCTGAAGTCATAATATTCTCTAGGGTGGTTTAGAAAAGCAGTGGGGATGTTTAAAAACACTGAGGTGATTTCAAACTGAGCTCTGAAATGAGAAATGAGCAAGCTGGCAACAGTGGTAGGAGGAAGGCCTCTGATGGTGGTGACTTGTGACTGGCGTAGTCTCATCCATTCGGAGGAGCTGTGAGAAGATGCACTTTATTATGGCTGATAATTATAATGGGGCTGTTTTCATTTAAAGCTGAAGTTTGACTTGTTTCATATGAAATGGAAACCTCCAGTTTCTGAAAACAGCTCTCCCTCTTCTTGTTCTCTTAGACTGATTGAATTGGTCTCACCTATTCTATAGAATACTCTCCCAACTCGTGGTTGCTTTTCAGTGCTCTGGTGATATAAAGCTTCTATCCTGTTGATATATAAGACAGAAGTTACAGTCTTTCCTTTGGTGTCACCGTGACTGTCTCAGTGGAGCAATGTGTGACTTGGAAAAAGATAGGAGACAAAAGTAAGAAGTACTGCTTGTTCTCTGCCTTTAGTCAGCTGTCTCTTAAAAAGGTTTTTTTTTTTTTTTTTTTTCAAACTAGTTACCTTTCCCTCTTTTATCTTTTAAAACAAATCTGGTTGTTTATTGTCCTCAGAAATTTAATTTGGGCTACATATATATTACCATTTTAATGGTAAGGTTTTCCCATCAATTTGATTTATTTCTTTGTACTAAAGCAGGTAACATGCCAAATAGCCTTTTTAAGGCACAGCCTGAAGTCTTGATTAATGTCTTAGGGTATGTTCATCTCTGAGCTAATCTTTTGAAAATAAAAAGTTATTCAACGTTGAGTTTGTATCACTGGCCTGGCCAAGTTGCCAGACTTTGCTGACTAATCTGGAACACTAAGGAAAAATCTTGAAATGATTCACCTGTTACTCAGATCAAGTCTTTGGGTTATTTTGAGGGTGTTCTGTTTGTTTTTAATGATGCTGTAACGAGAGTGTCTGAAATGCATGATGTTGAGAGTTTCTGGTTCATCTACCTGGTGACATCCTCAGTGCTACTCTGTGAGCTTCACGCTGTTCCAAGGACTGGGGCAAATGCTGAGAAATGCATAACTGAAAAGCAGCAGCAAGAATGTTAGACTTCATGGTATCACTGATGTAACTTTATAAAACTTGTGTACAATTAATAGGAAGAAGAGGCTATGAATTTGTTTTCTTCTTGTGGATATAACTTAATGAAATAGTTGTAGTATTGAAAAAAATAGAACAATTTTTCATTTCACAAACAATAATTTGAAAAGCATGTTCCCATGGAGATAAGTAATGCTATTTTTCCAATAATAGAGATGTTCTGATTAGATGCTTTTAATTTAAGTTTCAAGTAAATCCTGTGAATCCCAGGATATTTCTTTCCCATCACTTTAACATGTCCGAATTCAATGAGAAAGAGAAATCTAGATTCTTCTTTTTTATTTTAAAGAGAAAAGAATAAAAGTAACAAAACAGTTTCAAAACAGGTTGGTAGGCTAGTTATAGTAATTAATACATTGAGCATTCTTATCTTCATAGTAGTTATTCAGAATACAAGATATATGCATAAGTCTTCTTTATAGCTTTTCTTTTATATATTTTATTTTAATTGCTTTCAAATATTCAAAATTAGCTATTTAAAGAGAGTAAAATTCTTTCATGATTTTCTGGAATTGTGTGCATGTGTGTATTTGTGTGTGTTGTATTGGAGGCTGAAACCGGGATCTTCACACTGAGCTAGATCCCTAAACCCTTTTTAAAATTTTTGAGCCAAGTCCTCGCTGTATTATTAAGTGGCCCAGGCTGGTCTCAGACTCTCCATTCTCCTGCTTCAGCCATGCGGTGCTGGGGTTATAGGCATGTGCCACCATGCCCAGGGATGATAATTTTAGCTCACACAATAGAAGTTTTACTTGGAAATGAAATCTTAACCAACATTGTGCTAGTAAACCATTTCTCAAGTACACAAAGTCTTAATCTTTTTTTTTTTTTGGAACCAGGGATTGAACTCAGGCCCTTGCGCTTGCCAGGGAAGTGCTTATTCCACTGAGCCATCTCCCTGACCCTATGTACACAAAGTCCTGACTTATAGTATTTGCTTATTTCTCTCTATATAAATTTGTCTGGCCTGGAACTCATTATGTAGCCAAGGCTGACCTAGAAATTTTAGTGATCTTCCTGCCTCAGCCTCCCAAGGCCTGAGGTTATGGGCATGCTTGTGCCACTATGCCCAGCCTAAGGTGGCAGCACTAAGCCAAAGTTATAGAGTTGCAAGTCTTAGCTTATTATTTTGGGCTATAGCTTGCCATCCCAAGTCCCTTGATGCTTTACCAAGGATATTGAGGTTAATTATCCTCAAAAAAGTTTCCAGTTCTCCACATTATACTGGCATTACTGGGCACTGAGAGGGACATTTATTTTGGAAAAAAGGAAAAACACTTTGTTCAAAACTAGCTCGGAGGAGGTGGAAGGGCCTTGTGTTACCACAAATCACTGTCTTCTGTATCTAGCTGTGCAAGGACAGTATATAGAAACAGAGGAGAAAGGGAATGCAGTGAGACAGTGGGCAGGCTTGCGGAATCCCTCCGATCCTTCAGTGCCCTCCCTCTCTGTGGAAGGAGACAAGGCCAGGCCTCCTGAGCCAAGCATCCGTGTAGTTTGTCTACTCAGAGTTTCGTTTTGCTGGAGTGTAGTGGTTACAGGAGGCTCTATACTACTGACAGAGACAGAGGACGTAAACCTTGGGTACTGTACCTTATTAGCTTCTGAGAGGAGCCAGAGACTATTGGCAGAGGACCATGGCCCGTTAAATGAAGTTGGCACGTGTTAAGAACCCAGTGAGAATGGTCATACTATAAGCTTTATAGAAATTAAAAGAAGTGACTTCAGGTTGACAGCATAGGGCAAAGGTTTATGCTTGGTCTTAACCAGTAAAACTCTAACCATCAGGAGAAGGGCGAATCCAGATGCGGTGTAGTGTAGCACAGTAACTAGTGTAGTGTTGTCTGGCATCATGTTGTATCTTATCATATAGTATAGAAGAGTGGTTAGTTCCATGAAATCATACAGTTAAAATACTGGGTGTCGTATGCATGTCTGTGTATAGTCACACACACACACACAGACAGACACACAGGGGGGCAGGGGAAGAGAGAGAGAGAGAGAGAGAGAGAGAGAGAAAGAGAGAGAGAGAGAGAGAGAGAGAGGAGAGAGAGGAGAGAGAGGAGAGATTCCATGTCTGAAAGTGTTCCGGGTATCCAAAAGGTAAGTGTTCACCATGTACTTTTGGAAGAGACTTTCAGAATCTATTTAAATTGTCCATTCACCCATTTATCAAGGCCACAATGAATACTTTCCATGTAGCAAAGAGAGTAGAGAAGGAATAGAGTACAGCTAAAATCAGTAATTGCCAGCCTGTATTTCAACAAAATATCAAAGAAACTGAGAAGTTTACAGTGGAATCAGATATTTGAACTTGAGGTGCTTTCACCCAGCTCTTATGTTTTCCTTTTCTTAAACTCAAGTAACTATGTCATGCAGAAAATTTAGGATCAAATCAGGTTCTTCAGAGATGTTGTCGCCTAAGCATAACTACTTTTATTTACAGCTAAGAGTCAAGAAAATACATGCACCCACTGAGGCTTTCTTCAAACCATTTAGGACGGTATCATGTCCACTATTAAAAATTCCAGCACTTCTAGAATCTCAGTGTTTTGTTTTAGTGAGGGGCGGGGTGGTGGGCAGAGAATGAAACAATGCCCTCTGTGCCCGGGAACGAGAGTCTGGACCACTGAATTCCGAAGAGATTTACTGTAGACTGGTGTGAGAACATTCATGTTGCTTTATTTTCAAGAACATTAAGATCTTCTTTTAGAACTCCTAAAATAAAAAATCTACTATTTGTTACAGTTTCAGAACTTCTTTCACTTTGTCATGACTATGGCAAATGGTCACTTAATAACAATTATACTGTCAATTTATAAACGTAATTTACACATTATACAACATGTAGTTCTTGAAGTCTAACTCTCTTTTTCTTCTTCCCCCTCCTCCTCTGAGCTCCTCCTCCTCTTACTTCCCCACCTCCTTTCTCCCTCACCTCCTTTCTTCTCGTCCTTTGTCTTTGTCTTCATTTTTGTCTTCTCCTTCTCTTCCTCCTCTTTCCTTCCTTCCTTCTTCTTACTTGATTAACCTATGAAGATTTTCTAAGGTACATAAATAAGGATCCTATGGCCAGCCAAATAGCTCAGTAGATTAAAGTGACTGCAGGGGCTGGGGAGATGGCTAAGCAGAATAAATGCTTCCCTGGCAAGCACAAGGGCCTGAGTTCAATACCCGGTTCTGCAAAAAAATAAAAAAAAAATAAAATAAAGTGACTGCAAGCAGGTGCAGGGCCCAGGGGTTCAATCCTTGGGCCTGCTGTGCAGGCCCTGCCCCCAGGATGTGCTGAGCTGGCAATTGAGACTGGGTGTGGTGGCGCACCTGTAATCCCAGCACTTGGGAGGCTGTAAACAGGCGGATCACTATGAGTCCAATCTAGTAGTGAGACCCTGAATACCCTATAGACCCCTCCCTAAAAAAATACAAAACAAACAAACAAAAAACAAATAAATAAGGATCCTATTTTGATTTAAAATAAAAAAGCTGTACTAGTAGTAATATGAATATGCCTTTCTCTTTTCTTGCTTCAGATATTCCATTTGTTTTCCTGACTTTCTGGCAACTTCTAAGGGTGCTTTGTTTATATAAAGAATGTATTAATGTACCTTGTTTATGGGAATAAAAGGAAAATCTTATAATTTACTGAGGATTAATAAATATATATTAAAGATACAGGAATAAATGTTTTTCGTAATATCTATTTGATTTTTTTAACCTAGAATTTTTTAGAATCTTTCTTTATCAGCTTCCTGATTTTTACAGTAACTCTTCATCCCCCAGTGAGAATTGTTTATTTCTGGTAACAGAAATGAAATCCAGTATTTTAAACATACATTTCATATTTTTATGGAAGACATGCATAATGAATTTCAGAAAGAAATTATCCTCTCATTCTAAATTTATAAACGGACCCCAAAAAACACATTGTTTTTTGCATAGGGAGGAACAAGAAGAGACATCTGCAATCCGAGTTGGTTTTATCACATATAATAAAGTCCTCCATTTCTTCAACGTGAAGAGTAATCTGGCCCAGCCCCAGATGATGGTGGTGACTGACATTGGTGAAGTCTTTGTTCCACTGCTGGATGGGTTCCTTGTCAACTATCAAGAATCTCAGTCTGTGATTCACAAGTAAATATGATGGGCTTTATAATTAAATATGAGTCAGTTGTCTTTTAGTTGCATTGTATCTTGATTCAGTTGTATAATTTTGTCATTAGCAAAGGGATTTTAAAACATGAATCATAAAACTCTATCATTTAGATGAGCTCTGTCTCTGGAATATATATACTAGTAGCTAAGCAGGAGAAGTTTTTTAAACTTACTCTGAGCCTTATGAATTCATATTCTTTGCAGAAAAGGTGATTCACAGGAGATATTTCCTGCATGTGAATGAATATATTCAATGATGTTAATAGAGATATAGCTGCTGTATGGCATACAGCTTCTGTATTCAGAATTCATGGTCTAAGAGATCAGTGATAGTGAATAGAAAAATGCCTGCAAAGTGTGATTTAGTTAATGTTAAATCTAAATTCTAGATTTTAGTGCCAAACTATGCTTAGATATACCTGTGAAGTATACACAGAGTGTTGGACCCCAAATGAGTACCACAATGTGTTTAAGCTTGAAATGTCAGTAATTTATTTTTTGAAGTTCATGACAAATATACTAAAGATTTAAAGACTTCTGCTTACTCATTTCTTATAGTCTATTGGACCAGATTCCTGAGATGTTTGCAGACTCTAATGAAAATGAGACTGTCTTTGCTCCTGTCATCCAGGCTGGCATGGAAGCATTAAAGGTGAGAAGAAGTCACTTGTGTGTGCTGATGGGCAGATTTATAAGCAGAGGGCTACAAAGGAAAGAGAGAGGGAAAGGAGGGAGGGAGGGAGGAAGGGAGGGAGGAAGGAAGGAAGGTAGACTGACTGAGTTCCCTAAGACTCTCAGGACTTCTCAGAAGAAAATGGCCCACATGAAGGGCCAGCAAAGTAGCTCAGCAGACTAAGTACCTGCCTAGGCAAATGCAGGAACCAGGGTTTGATCCCCAGTACTGTGTGCCATACTGGCCCTGCCCCCAGGCATGCTGAGCTGGCCACCAAGGCCAAGCCTGGTGGCACACACCTGTCATCCCAGCACTGGGGAGGCTGAAAACAGGAGGATCACTACAAGTCTGAGCTGTGTAGTGAGACTCTGTACCAAATACATAAAATTAAAAACAAACAAACAAAAAAAAAAGGTCTGCATGACATGTTGCACCCAGTGTTTACTTTCCGGTACTGTTTGCATCTGAGCAACTGATTTTGTCAGGATTTCCAGCTTAGCTCCTCCCCTTGGCTTTTATGTGAACTTTATGTGATCTATTTTAAAATTAGTTGAACAGTATCTAAACTCTAAGAGGAAAACAATTCCCACCTCACCCTCCTCTTCCTTGGAGTTTTTAAACATGTGAGGGCAAGGCCTGGGACAGTCAGTGACAAAGACGAGAGCTTGCTGAGGGCCTCCTTGCTTGGCAGAAGTGGATGGGAGGTTGGCTGGCCATGTGTCCAGCTGGGAAGCTGAGCCCACATGGCTCCAGTCATCTTCTGTAATAAAAACAGTAAGCTGGAGAAGGCAAATGGTTTAGGGGCACTTACTCTAAAACATTATCACTTTACCATGGGAGTCAAATCTCTGTCTCTGACAGCTAATTCTTAAAATTAGATTTTAAATTTTATAATTGAAATTAAGTTCAAATTAACTTTTAAAATAAAATGGTTACTAATAATATCAGTAAAAGTGATCCCAGCAACAAGGACAGTACAGAACTGAGCATCTGGACTCCATCCCACATATCTGCTTTGTGCCTGATTTTGTGGTTTGGTTCTGAGGTACAATGATTCTTGCTTAGATTTTGTTTTTGTTTAGTTTGTTGATCTGTGGCATAGTCACTTGTGAATCATGTGCTGTTTTTTTTTGGGGGGGGGAGTGTCCTGAAAGTCTCAGAGTGCATGTCAGTTTAACAAATTAGTTATAACTTTTACATCTGAAAATGACTTGAAGATGTTAGAGCTCAGCCAGAGGAATCCAACAGTGAAAAATGTGAGCGATACAGAAAGCTCTGTGGATTTTTCTTTTATCCCATGTTGCTAAAAACAAATGTTCTAATATCATTGTGTTAGTTTGTTGTTGTGAATGTTGTTCTTCTCTATGTGTGATTTTCTCATCACACGTGACCTCACAAGTCGTCTTACTCTAAGTTAGGCCTGGGGATAATACTGTTTGTGTGCTCCTCGCTGAGAGGAAAGATGGCGCATGCATATAGCCTATCCCATCTGTTAAGAGCAGAAAGCCACGCAGGGTGTGCAGCCACCCTTTGGTGGCCTTGAGGTCCAAATCCCAGCTCAGCCCCTTACTTCCCCTCTGAAGAGGGTCTCTAAGTAGTGTCTTGTAATAACGGTTACCAGAGGAGGTCTAGAGGCTGCTTGGAAGCACTGAAAGAAAAATGTAAATCAAATGTGTTTACATGCACTCCCTGGATCAAGGATTTGATCTGAATTATGACACATTACTGAGAAAAGTGTTCTTCATAACCATGGTGTTCTGCGAGGTCTCTCTCACCATACAATGGCTGTGGCAGTCTGTATTCCCTGCTCTCAGTCATAGTCAAGTTCATCGCGGTGTGTCTGCAGCTCTTCTGCATTTCATTTTTTATTATATTTATAGTTTTGTTGTTATACTAATGTTTCTTTTTACCTTGAAGTTTAAATATGGGAAGAAACTGTTGCCTAAGTATTGCAAGGCAGAAAACGTCATAAATACAAAGCTAATCAATAGTATTCTTCTTATGAAATGGAATGTTATAAAATGATACTTTGGAGCACACTGGCCGTTGCTGTTATGTTGCTGTGAGCTGATGGTGCTGTTCTCCCAACACCAGCCTTTCCACCGAGGCTCAGTGATGTCTTTCCTTGACTTACTAGTCATAGAATCAGAAGAGGTAGAGATGCTTAGTAAAAATGCAGATTTCTGGTCAACTCCCAGAGGTTCTGCTCATTAATGCCCCAATTATTCTGATGTTTATCTGTGCCAGGGGGGCTCCTAGTATGAAGAATCATTCATTCTGTAACTTCTGAGTGTGTTCCCTTAAGGTGGAAGAAGCACTACTCAGTGTGCTACTTTTGCTCTAGGAATTCTTTGACTATCCTGATTTAACTTCTTGCCTTCAGTTTCCAAATTATGGTTAAAATCAGTACCTTTCTGAGCAAAGTTTGCTTGCTTTTATAGAATGTTCTGTAATACACAATGCATTTATGTATTCAACTTTGTAATGAGTAGAAAGGGTCACTGGCTGATTTCTTAGTCGCTTACTGTAACTGCTCTAGCTCATGATGCTTCTTTTATCCATAGCTGCTCAAGAAAATATTAAGACATTTAAAGTAAATTTATAAGGATTTTTTTCCCTGACCTTGTTAGACACTTCTAGTTTTTGTTTTATGTTTTACTTTTGTCTTTGATTCTATTTTATATGTGATTCTAATCATCTTTCTTCTAATTCCCTTTGTAAGATGCTAATATGAATAATACGGAAAAATTTCTCCTATATCTAATCAGGAAAATTATGAGTGATTTTAATTCATTACATAAGAGCAGAACTTCTGTAGCACAATTGGCACTTGTCCACAGTGAATGCTTTTTGCTTCATGATGTGTGTGTGTGTGTGTGTGTGTGTGTGTGTATGCGCACATGTGTGTGAGCTTAGCCAGCTTCGGCGGAGTCATATTTTTATTGTATTTGCAGATTTTTTTGTAGCTGAAAATCAGACTAAAGTTTATGTCTCTTATATAGGAAGTGTGAAATTCTTGCCTGAAGTCATTAGGCTATAAGCTAAAATATTTGAGAATTTGCAGAGTAGTATCAGAATGTTACAAAGTTATTCATCCACTTGTCCTTTTAACCATTAAGAATGTATCAAATGCCTGTAGTTTTTGTAAGGCAATTTACTGTCTCCTCATAAATTGTGTGGCAGACAAGAGGCAACTCTGTCATACAAGACATAACATTTGTTGCTTGCATTTAAAAAGGGGATGGAGCCAGGTGTGGTGGTGCACACTGGTAATGCCAGGACTCGGGAGGTTGAAGCAGGAGGATCCATGCAAATTCAAGTGCAGCCTGAAGGCCAGCCTGGATTGTCTGCAAAGGGGGGTTTGGTGGGATGGGGGAAGGCAGAGAGTAACTTTGGAAAATGTGAGACTGTGGCTGGTCAGTCCAGCAGCTCAGGATATTCTCCATGGGAGACTGGAGATGGCAGTCTCGTCTGGGGACAGGGAGCAGAACTGAGGAAACAGCAAAGTGAAATTCTGATTGCATATTAAGTGAAGGCTTTAAGAACTGGAATGCCCTGTTGGAGTTGCAGCTTTTCTTTCAATCAGATAGATGCCAAGAAAAATCTCTATATAAATTAAGCACTAATAAGCTTCTTAAAGCAAACAGAGTGGACATAAACTAACAAAAAAACGTGCTTATTTGTCGCAGGCATAAACAGGAATGCTGGAATGCTAATCTGCATAGTTTCCCAGAAGGCCTTGAAATACCCAGCTAACGGATACAGTTTTCTGCTGTGGATGTTTCTGGGTCCACAGCATCTTAGAAACTTACCCTCTTTTTAATTTTTTTTTTTTCATAGTCCTTCAAAGTCTGCAGTTCTTTCAGAACCTGACCTGTGTAATCCGAACTGTATATGAACTGCTGACACTTGCTTTGAGTTTGGTCAAAAAATAATTTTCTGTGTTAGCTATGACTTGCACAAGTTAGTAAAACTACATAAATAAGAATTGGGTTAAAAAAAAAACAGAGGCAATTAGCCTTTAATAGTTGTGCCTAAATTACATCAAAACTTACCTATAAATTGTCAACATCTGTATCTAAATTTGATTTCAAGGGAAAACATCACAGCAGGCCTCCTATAGGCACATGTGGGGTGCATGGAGAGGGAGAGGAGTGGAACTGGTAGGGCTAGAGAGAAGCGAAGCCAGTGTCTTTTCCTCTCTGGAGCCCTCCAGCCACGGATGACAGTGGAATACACGAGGTTGTGAAATAGTGACACTAATTCTGGAAGAGTGTGTGTTCAAGCACGGAGGGGGAGGCAGCAGGCTGTGCCCACGGTGTGAGCAATGTCTCCCTCAGGGCAAAGGCGCTGGCGCTGTTTCCATGTGTGTGTTCTCAAGGCCAGTCCACAAGCTGCTTTCTGCCTGAAGATTTCATGTCTTTCGCCTAGTTCATAGGACTCGCTCTCGCGGGGAGAGGGGGATGTGGGGCAAGACATAAATCTTGGAAAGATATAAACTATAGCATACTGTAGAGCCTTCTCTAATTTAAATTTGCTACTTATAAAAGATTATATGTGATTAATGAAATGATGGATCTAAAATTAGCATCAATTATTGAAAGAAAAAATAAAGACAACTTTGGGCTTTTTTCTCAATATTGAACCTTAGTTTTAGTGGGTCTTGAGTTTTTGTCAGTTTTACTCTCTGAACCATTTAACAAGACAGTCCTGTATGTTCAGTCATGATTAACACTATCTACTCAACCGAGTTCTCCCTACAATAGTTTATGTAGTTACTATTTTGTATTATATATTCAGTAACTAAAGCATAAAGAAGCATTTTCCAGTGTTCCTCCACTGATAAAATGCTAGGATTCAGTCCTTGCAGGTAGTAACTAGGACCTGTGTTCTTAAAACCTGCAGTGTAAAATTACAGCATGTTCATGATAAGTGAATGTCCAGATCAACAGAAAAAATATCGACAGTGAATTTCTTAGGAGAACTAAATAAGTCAAGCAAGAAAAACTGGGCGTTTTTTAACTTTGTAACTTTTCTGCTATTAAAATATGTTCAGCAGTGCTTTTATACTAACTAATAAACAGAAAATTTCTTTTGCTTTTCACAACTTTATTTCAACATAACTATGCTTACAGCAGAAATTTAAAAATAGAAAACTGAAACATTCGCCATGCTTAATTTCCTATCTGTAATTTTTCACTGTCACTTTCCTCTTCTTCCTCTCCTTTTTCTTCCTCCACTTCATTTTGTCAGTAGGTGCTGGAATTGAAAGACATGCCTTGTGCTTCCTAGGCAGTGACCTTACCGTTGTGCTGCATCTTTTGTGCTTTTTAACATTTTCAAGTTTTGAGACAGGTTCTCACTAAGTTGCCCAGGCCGACCTTGACCTTTCCATCTTCCTTCCTCAGCCTTTTGAGTAGCTGTGACAGTGACTGCAGGCCTGTGCCTCCCTGCCCTGCAAGCACCTCTCTTACTAATACTGTTTCTGTGCATAGCTTTCAGCTAGGGACGCATCCAGCATTAAGGTCCCAGCTCACAAATTCTTCCTCACTATTGGCCACAACAAACAGCAGCAGATACATGCACTGTGACCCCATTGCTGTGACACATGCCACAGAATTATGTCAGAATGTCACTGGTAAGAGACACGTTACAACAGGGATAACCTTGCATTCTCTTCATTTGTTTTTCAAAGGAATTAGTCACAAATCTAAGCACTTTGTTGTAAGTAGCCTACTACTAAAGATACATCAAGCAGCTGACCCAGCAGAGCCATGAGTCCCACTCAGCACAGTCTTTGTTTTTTGTTTTTGTTTTTGTTTTTTACTTTTTTTTTCATAATTTTATTGAGAAACAAATAGCAATGACAGTTTCAAATCAAATTGGTTGGACAGTTTCTTTTTTGTGTGTGTGCTTTACTGATTTTCTCTCTTTTCTTTTTTCCTAATTTTATTGAGAAACAAAGAGCAATGAGACAGTTTCAAATCAAATTGGTAGGACAGTTTCAATAAATAACACATTGTATACATTTTTCCTAGTGGTTAATTGCTGTACAAGATGCGGACATGATATCCTATTTACAAACACTATTAGAACAAATCCCTCTATTCGTT